TTCAAAAAATCTGTAAGAACGGTTTTTTGAAGGCAGATCTGCCTTCAAAAAACTGGTCTACTCTGTGAGAACGGTTTTTTGAAGGCAGACCTGCCTTCAAAAAAACTGTAAGAACGGTTTTTTGAAGGCAGATCTGCCTTCAAAAAATTGGTCTACTCTGTAAGAACGGTTTTTTGAAGGCAGACCTGCCTTCAAAAAATCTGTAAGAACGGTTTTTTGAAGGCAGATCTGCCTTCAAAAAACTGGTCTACTCTGGTGTAAGAACGGTTTTTTATTGAAGGCAGATCTAGCCTACATAAAACACATCTGTAAGAAACGGTTTTGAAGGCAGATTCTGCCGTCAAAAAAAACGGTCTACTCTGTAAGAAACGGTTTTTTATTATTGAAGGCAGATCTGCCATCAAAAAAATATGTAAGAACGGTTTTTTGAAGGCAGATCTGCCTTCAACAAACTCTGTAAGAACGGTTTTTTGAAGTCAGATCTGCCTTCAAAAAATTCTGCAAGAACGGTTTTTTGAAGGCAGATCTGCCTTCAAAAAAATCTGTAAGAACGGCTTTTTGAAGGCAGATCTGCCTTCAAAAAACTCTGGAAGAACGGTTTTTTGAAGGCAGATCTGCCTTCAAAAAATGCTGTAAGAACGGTTTTTGAAGCAGATCTGCCTTAAAAAAACTGGTCTACTCTGTAAGAACGGTTTTTTGAAGGCAGATCCGCCTTCAAAAAATCTGTAAGAACGGTTTTTTGAAGGCAGATCTGCCTTCAAAAAACTGGTCTACTCTGTGAGAACGGTTTTTTGAAGGCAGATCTGCCTTCAAAAAAACTGTAAGAACGGTTTTTTGAAGGCAGATCTGCCTTCAAAAAATTGGTCTACTCTGTAAGAACGGTTTTTTGAAGGCAGACCTGCCTTCAAAAAATCTGTAAGAACGGTTTTTTGAAGGCAGATTTGCCTTCAAAAAATTGGTCTACTCTGTAAGAACGGTTTTTTAAGCAGGACATGCCTTCAAAAAATCTGTAAGAACGGTTTTTTGAAGGCAGATCTGCCTTCAAAAAACTGGTCTACTCTGTGAGAACGGTTTTTTGAAGGCAGACCTGCCTTCAAAAAAACTGTAAGAACGGTTTTTTGAAGGCAGATCTGCCTTCAAAAAATTGGTCTACTCTGTAAGAACGGTTTTTTGAAGGCAGACCTGCCTTCAAAAAATCTGTAAGAACGGTTTTTTGAAGGCAGATCTGCCTTCAAAAAACTGGTCTACTCTGTGAGAACGGTGTTTTGAAGGCAGATCTGCCTTCAAAAAATTGGTCTACTCTCTGGTAACGAACGTGGTTTTTGAAGGCAGATCTGCCTTCAAAAAACACTCTGCAAGAACGGTTTGAAAGCAGATATGCCTTCAAAAAAATGGTTTTTCTCTGTGAGAACGGTTTTTTGAAGGCAGATACGGCCTCAAAAACAACAACAGTAGAACGGTTTTTTTTGAAGCAGATCTGCCTCAAAAAATAGGTCTACTCTGTAAGGAACGGGGCGTTTTTTTTTTTTTTTTTTTTTATTTTTTTTTTTTTTTTATTTTTTTTTTTTTTTTCGTTTTTTTTTTTTTTTGTTCGTTTTTTTTTTTTTGTTTTTTTTTGAAGGCAGATCTGCCATCAAAAAATTGCCTACTCTGTAAGAACGGTTTCTTGAAGGCAGATCTGCCTTCAAAAAATGGCCTACTCTGTAAGAACGGTTTGTTGAAGGCAGATCTGCCTTCAAAAAATGGCCTACTCTGTAAGAACGGTTTCTTGAAGGCAGATCTGCCTTCAAAAAATGGCCTACTCTGTAAGAACGGGTTTTTGAAGGCAGATCTGCCTTCAAAAAATGGCCTACTCTGTAAGAACGGTTTTTTGAAGGCCGATCTGCCTTCAAAAAATGGCCTACTCTGTAAGAACGGTTTTTTGAAGGCAGATCTGCCTTCAAAAAATTGCCTACTCTGTAAGAACGGTTTCTTGAAGGCAGATCTGCCTTCAAAAAATGGCCTACTCTGTAAGAACGGTTTCTTGAAGGCAGATCTGCCTTCAAAAAATGGCCTACTCTGTAAGAACGGGTTTTTGAAGGCAGATCTGCCTTCAAAAAATGGCCTACTCTGTAAGAACGGTTTTTTGAAGGCAGATCTGCCTTCAAAAAAACTCTGTAAGAACGGTTTTTTGAAGGCAGATCTGCCTTCAAAAAACTGGTCTACTCTGTAAGAACGGTTTTTTGAAGGCAGATCTGCCTTCAAAAAAATCTGTAAGAACGGTTTTTTGAAGGCAGATCTGCCTTCAAAAAACTGGTCTCCTCTGTAAGAACGGTTTTTTGAAGGCAGATCTGCCTTCAAAAAATCTGTACGAACGGTTTTTTGAAGGCAGATCTGCCTTCAAAAAACTGGTCTACCCTGTAAGAACGGTTTTTCGGAGGCAGATCTGCCTTCAAAAAATGTGTAAGAACGGTTTTTTGAAGGCAGATCTGCCTTCAAAAAACTGGTCTACTCTGTAAGAACGGTTTTTTGAAGGCAGATCTGCCTTCAAAAAACCGTTCTTACAGTGGCGCCAAGCGGTTGCAAGACAGTCCCAAGAGCCCAAGATGACCCTACAACGGCCAGCACCCCATGGCCCGATGGCGTGTCATCGACTAGAGCTTGAGCGCACGCCAAGCGCGTGGTTTTAGTAAACATATTTTTGTCCGAGCTCTGCGCGGATTTCTCGGATCGGGACTCCTTGGCGGCGCCTCCGGCGCCTCCCCTGGGCGCTCCACGCGCCAGGCATGGGGTCCCAGCGCAGATCCGAGAAATCCGCGCCGCAAGTTCAATTGTATGCTCTTAGCTCCTCTTTCTCCTGGTCGG